TAATACCAGAATTCAGCTATTAATCTGAATCTAACATTTTTCCATTTGAAAAATGCACCATACGTGACTGTATTATGGAAAAAGTTTATCATTAATTTTACTGAAAAAATGATCTGTAATTGGAGAAAAGAGAGCTTGTTCTGAAAGGTGGATTTCAAGGAACTTAAAAGCATTCACAGATATAAAATTGCTTTGCAAAAAGTCCAGTTTTTTTCATTGATGCTGTTAAATAATTGGGTATTGATCACATTAGCATGAATTCTACCTCTTAATACTGTTTTAGCAGTTGACTGAATGGGAAAAGGAAGTCAATTTTTCTTACTAAGCTAGATATTTAAGAAACAGAACATAATCTTATTTAAATTTTGAGTGAATAAGTGGGGGGGGGGAAATAACTTTTTTCCCATAATTGTATTGTATTCTACATCTGTATATTTTCTACAGAACTCATGCACTAGTGTTCAGTTTTAAAAAGCACAGCAACAGCTCTGAGTTCAGTCCCGTGGAAGATGATGGTCAGAATTCCCAGGGACCGATCTAGCAAGGGCAGCCAGAATGGAAACTTCCAAATACGGTCTCTCCAGTGCACCATGACCTTTTCCTAGGACAGCTAGCTCTAGACGTTATATGGTGATTCAGTCGCTATATGAAATCTCATGATGTGGACACTTAGACTGGAAACTAGGACTAAGACCAGACAATCAGCTCATCACACACAGGTCATATGGCGGCAACAACTGGTTTTTTTACTCCCTTGAAAGTCATATTGGAACTGTGAAGGATTCCAATCATGTTATGAATGCCCAGATCCCATTATCTATGCTAAAAAGATTTAAGATAAATAATTGTTAGAGAGAGGGTGGTAAGCTAGTTCTTAAGATTCCTCTTGACATTCAATAAGACTTAGGAAAACTAATAAGTGGGGAGCTGTAGTTTAAGAAACTGTATTGTATGCCCTTTCCCTGTGTATTCTGTCCTCTATACATTGCATCACACTGAACAACAATTTGTAGGGTTAGGATTTTTGTTTTACTTTTCTGGGGCCCTTCTTTCATAAACTGTCCACAACGACTGTCTCAAATGTATTCATTGTTCAGAATTATTCAACAAGGCCTAGATTTTTTAGAGATATTTAGGTGTTCCTCTGCACAGCTCCTCTACAAATTTGGGCCCAATTACTTCATGAAAACATAGTTCAGAATATGCTTCATAAACTGCTTGCCAGAGCATTGCTTCATGTATCCGAGGCACACAATTTGTAATGCGAACTATTTATATCAGAAGCACAGATAACCTATATCCAGCATGGTATCTTTCCATTCCCTGACTAGTTGAGCACCACTTTAGTTCACAGTAGGGGAAAGACAAGGGGCCTGATTCTCCATATGTCACAATCCTGTAATTATATTAAGTGTAATGGGGGCAAAAATACAGAGCCTGAAAAACAGGTAGAAGAAATTACTCCTTTGTGAATCTGTAAAACTGTACTAATATCACTTAGCTACTGGCATAAAGCTTTGGACATCTTAAATCCTGTATGTTTTCAGAAGTTAGTCACTCTGGATTTGAGGAGTATGTGTGCCCCAGAATATGAGTAAGCCAATTGCAACCATATTATGTGCATTCAGCTGCCATGAATTAATTAAATAGAATACCACATAGTTAAGGGTTAACTTGAATAAAATAGGGCTTCTCGTGGCAAGACCAAAACGAGCTGCAAGTTTGCAGACTCTGCTAATCAGAATGGAAGGCGGGGAGAGAGAGTCAACACGTTGAGACTGAAAGGAAATAAATGGGTGAGAACCTATGAATTTGGGTGCCTTTGATATGGAAGCTTATTATGACTAAGATTTTTAGGAGACGTGATGGCATAGTAAGGGTCACTGTAATTTATGTAATTTGTAAAAGTTAGCTATAAAAGGATTAGATAAGAGTGGAGCAGTCCTCTGCAGCTATGCTGAGAGACTTTTTTTCTGACACCTTTTCTCCCTGGAGAGTAAGCAACTGGTCATTGTGGACCTGCGGTCAATTACTCAATACTGTCCTGGTATTTGGGATGTTCTAAACCTATTGCTTGTGTCTGTGCTTGAATTTAATAAACTGTAGTTTTAGATAAGAGCATGCTTATTTGCATTAATCTTTTATCAGCTGGAGCATTGTGTTCCCATTGATTTATTCTTGACACAGCCTGTCATGAAACAGTTAAGTTACTACTGCTGTGGGTTCTGAAAACCCTAGGTAACAGTTACTTGTAGAAAATACTTACGCTTTTTCTACAGAAAACCTCTAAACCTCAGTTTCTCTAAGTGACTTGTTTAAAGAGTACAGCAGTCTAGTGGATTAGGACTGGACTGGGAGTTGGAGGCCTCTTGTTCGGACACTGATTTCCTGTCTAAGCCTCTGGTTCCCCATTTGTAAGATGGAAATAATATATACCAACAGTGTTAGGAGGCCTAACTAATGTTTGTAACCCCAAAGTAAATGATGGGTGGGAACAGAACTCAAACTTTTTGTCCCAGTCCTATGCTAATTCTTCTAGTCCACAGAGGTGACTTTTCAACAAACTCTTGACTTGTGAAAGGGTCACCTTGACATTTTGGTTTGTGCTTTGTTTGCAGTCTCTTTGCTACAACAAATTTGCTCTTGAAATTTCACAGAAATAGAAATTGTTTAATTATAGGCACTACTATATTAGCAATAAATTTACAGCAATTGTATTGCCTTTGGTCAGCAGCACATAATCTTAATTGTGGTTAGCATAGGACAAAAGAATCAGTACCCAGAGCAAACCAATCTCATCCACTTCAAGGTAAATTGTGGAGTTCCTAGTTATACAGTGTAAATCTGGAGTAACATCATTGGAGTTACTGCAGATTTATAGCAGTGTAACAAAGCGGAATTTGGTCTATCTACCACATTTGTTTGGAGGGGATGGGGCGAGCACATTTCCAGACCCTTGAACTGAGAAAATGTTTTTGTGTTTTTTTGTGTTTTTTTTTTTTGTTTTGTTTTTTCTGTTCCCTTCACACACCTCCCAGATGCACTCCATAACTGGCAGAATGCCAAGTAATGTCTGCTAAGAATACAAATAAAGCATCTGGAAGAACTGACTTCTTACTTGGCTATACCTGCCAACACATTGGGTTTGCATCCAATTTGGAATAAAGCCTGATGCCTTTTAAAGCTTGGCTTCCAATGAGAGAATGCGTTTTTCCCCCCTATAAACACTCCGATTCATCATGGTAACCTCCATGTCAAGGCATGCATCTTTACTCTTTTTTTTTTTCATGCTGTTATAAAATAATTTCCACACCTGGACTACTTTCTGCAGTAACAATCTGCTAAATCTAGAAAATTGATTTAGACTTGTCAGAAAGGTCTAGAGGGATGTTGTGGCGCACATGGAAAAGAGTGTGGCTGTGGAATACTTGAAGTATGTAGTAAGGTTAGGGCTCTCGTCCCTTCTATTGTTCCCCTTACCTTGTAAGTCGTCCTCAGCACATTTTGGGTTCAGTTTGTAACATACCATTTTACAACCTCTCTAGAGGCCTCAGGTAGCTCAGCTTGCATCTTCCTCTGTAATTGGGTCTCTTGAAGGATTGCTTATTTCCATTTCCAGTTGCACCCTCTGACAGCCATATTTTCCTTTTAAAATTCTATACTGTGCTTCCAATGCATTCCCAAGCTCTTACTGACATCAGAATGGTTAGGTGCAGACTGAATAAAGAATTGTCCCATGTGAGCTGCCACTTGACAGATCTCTGATTCATGCTCCCTCATACTAATTCCCTCTTCTCTTTCAGGATGCTGGACACTCCAATGCCTCTCATTAAAATGAAGTGGGTCCACTTTACAAGGTACATTCATTACAATCACCTTCATTTGTGTGATGTACCTTTCTGAAGACCTATCCATTTCTATCTTTCTATAAGAAATAGACTGCTGTAAGGGAGTCCCCTAATCATTATTCCTTCTCAGATCTACGTAGATATTGTGTAGCTGTATCTATGCAGTTCTCCAATAAGTACAGCACTGATGTACTAAGCACATAACTGATAGTCTAATGATGATCAGGTTTAACTGAAAGTATTCAGGAGTATACAATATTTCCAACCCAAACACTGAAAAATCATGCGTCAGGACTCCAAAATCATGAGTTGCTTAAAAATATGGGGTTTTTTTAATGATAAAATGTGGGTTGGTTTTTATCTTCATTTAGTTTGAGCCTTTTAGGGTGAACTTGCTTCATACTGCCAAGCTTTTCATCACACCCATGAAGTCTAGGAACTGACTTTTTTTAATGAAAGGTGAGATTCTCATTCAATCTCTTGTTGTTGTTGTGTGTTTTTGTTTTTGTTTGTTTTAAGCAGCTGAGACTTTAAGAAAAGCACCAAATATCATGAGTTGGCAACCCTGAGAATAGCATGCACTTGAAGTAGGTGCAAGATTTTTTTTTATTATCTTTAAACAAAAAGGTTGCATTTATATTTTGAAATTGCTGGTGAGAACAATATTCATTTTGTGGTCAGAGTTAAAGGTGTTGACAATATATGCAGTATTTATTGCTTACATGTGGTATAAGACTTATGTACTTAACTACTTGTTTCCTGCTTAAGATCTTGGGTTTTGTAAATGATGGGATGGGTATGTAGATTGTTGTTTACTCACCAGTCGCTATTGATTTAAAATGCAATAATTTGTCTTTGGAACTTCCCTGGGTTTTCTCCCTCCCCTCCCCCAGCAGAGATTAGCAGGAGGGTTGTTCTGGGACTAAATGAAAAATAGTTTTGGAGGTGGATGATTAACTTATTCTTTGTATCCCTATTTTTTTCACATCAGTTACATTGAGAGTCATGTTTAGTTTTCAAATAGTGATAATTCCATAAATACTTGACTATTCCTGCCTGTCTCAAACTGCCTCTTGCATAAGCCAATGTTAAAACCAATCTGTTTCCAACTTTTTGGGGTAAAGTGATTTTGTGGGTAGGAAGGATACTAAAAGTCATTAGGCACTAACTACCAAAAAGAATCCATAAAGGAACCGTTTAATTTTTTTAACCTCAAAAAGTAGTCCTTTTTTCCAGATTTTTTTTTAAATTGTCAATGAAACTTACCCTTTGAATGTAAAAGCATAATGTGTGAGTGTGTTTAGTTAGTTACACTGTTGGGAACTTCATGAGGTATGCAGAAAGGAGGCCACTCCTGCAGTCTGTAGGAGGTCCCAGGCTTGAGCAATTGATTCTTCTTGCAAGGCCCAGAACCCAATTTTACTGTGCCCGCAATTTTGACTTTCATGCACCTAGCCAGTCATACCACTGATCTCTTAAGATTCAGTGGAGATATTATGAAGACTAGCGAGTTCATGGGGCTTACACACAGTACCTTGCTCCTTTAGAATGCACTTGGTATGTCCTGAAGGCCTGGGGAATCCTTACATTAACTTCAGTGGAAAGATCATTAGGGATCTGATTGCCATTGACTTCAGTGGACACAAAGCTACCATTTCTCTGAAACTTTTGAAGCAAGAATTAAGCTTCAATAGTCTTCCTAGTCTTAGGAAAGTATAAGAAAAAGATATCCTAGTTCAAAAGAATAATAGTAATAAAACAGGGTTAAACACTCAATCTCATAGGTAAAGTCTTCTAGTTTTAAAAGCTTGTTGCTTGTCAACAAGCATGATCTGTCTTGAAGATGAACTTTCACATTCAACTGAAAACTATAGGTTACGCTAATGTAACTTCTTTTTCTCCATTGCTCTTTCCTTACTGGGGAATTATATCTGCTGTCAGTCACTAAATAAAAAAAGGCAGTGGCTTCTGGCAACACATCCTTTTCCCTATTTTCTACTTGGCTTATCATACCAGGGAAAAGTGTATGTGTTTTTTGGGTTTTTTGTTTGTTTGTTTGTTTGTTTTTTATACAAGTGCTCTTTTGACTGCATTAAAAATAAAATTCTTCAACAAAATTCTTGGCTTGCTTCAAGAGACTGTATTGATTGGTGGTATTTTACTCGGCCACTGAATTTAAAAAACACGTAGTATGATGAATAGGTTTGGAGGAGAGCAGAACTCATTGTACTCTCCATTTGTTGTTCCAGTTAACACTTGTGGCTGGATGAGGGAAGTATCCATTTCATCATAAGAGCAAATGAGTCATGCAGATGCTATTGCGTTTTGGAGCACGGTGAGAGGACATACATCTTTTCTGAGAGCTGCCATATGCTTTTCTGTCTTATGTGGATGAGAAATAAATAGCTGTGGACATTCCCTTCCAACAATACCTTGAGAGTGCACTTGTATTTAAAGTTACAATGCTCTATTCCCCATAAACCGACTTCGATGTTCATTGAAATGGAGAGAGGGCTAAGGTGAAGATGCACTATCTGCATTTCATCATCACTTTAGGCTCCATTCTGTGTGTCACAGTGGCCTTATTTCAGCATGTATCTACGTTTTAAGCACGAGTAGTCCTGTTTAAATCAATGGGACTACTCGCATGCCTAGGAACCTAGGATCAGGGCCAGTAAGTATTTGTCATGTTTCAGCATGTGCTATTAAAATGTGTTGAAAACCCCTACTAATAACCTAAACTGTCTATTTACAAATCTAAAGGATTGATTAACCTAAATAGGAATTAATTTTTCTTCTATAGATTTTGAATGGCTTTTAAAATTAAAAAGCCAGCATCTGCATTACTGACCCTCTGCAATAAGACAGAAGAGCAAGATGAAAGATGCACATTTTAAAAATCTTTTAAATCCATAAGTTTACTTATCTCTGCACAAATCCTGCTGAAACATCTGTCTCCTACTTCAATAAATCTTCGGACACAATCTCAACTTTGGAAAAGTGCATATAAAAATGTGTACAGCTTATTTGAAATCAGTTCAAACTAAATACCAACAATCCAATGAGTTGGATATATGTCATCTTAGAAATATTCAAGTATTAAAATGTGTACAACCCTAAGGATACATACACAGTCCTTGTCCTTATGCCAGACATTTGACTGTCCCACTGAGCTGATATCATTGTCTATTATTCAGACAAATATTGTGTCATTGTTTCCTTGTATTCCCCCATCTTTCTGTTTTATACTTTAAAAATATCCCTGCCAGAAAGAGTTAAATTGTATTCTGTTAGTACAGCAGAGACCGTGGTACATGACTGGGACTCCTATGTGCTACAGTAATAAAAATAATAAAGAATTTATCCCTGAACCACAAAACATCCAGCATAATTTATAATCAACTTGGAAAGCAGACATGAGTTCTGGGACATCTTAAAAAAACATTTTATCCAGTGAATCTCTTCCCGTTTTCCACGTCTTCCAAGTCTGTCTGCTTAGAGCCAGGTGTGTGTGTGTGTGTGTGTGTGTGTGTGTGTGTGTGTGTGTG